GCACGCCGTGCACCCCTGCAAGCAGGGGGCGGCGGATCTAGTGGCCTTCGGCCCAACCCGCCACCGTGCTTGTGCTGTGTGGGTCAGGAGCCTGTGGATGAAGATGAAGGTCTCTTGGGATGCCTCTCTGGGGCCTCTTCGAGGGCTCTTGGGTGGATCTGGGAGACCTTTTTGGGCCTCTTATGGACCTCTTAGGGACTTCTTGGGGTCGTCTTGGAGGCCTCTTGGGGCGCCTCGGGAGCCTCTCAGGGCTCTTGGGGCCATCTTGGGGGAAAGGGCTGGCTCGAAATATCAGTTCGTATTCCCCCTCTTTGGCTCTCTTGGGGCCCTTTGGGGTTCCCCTCTTGGGCCGTCATAGGGGCCCTGCGGCCCTGTCAAGGCCCTCTTGCGCCGTCTTGGGGCCCCAGTAAGAGACCTCGTCGGCCGTCTTGGGACGATCTTTGGGCCCTTTCGGGCGTCTTGCATGCTGCTAAGACGGACATGGTGAGCATATTAAACATGCAGTTTTCTTTGAGGGAATAGGACGGTGTTTGTATCCTGGAGCCTTTCCGGCGGTCCTCTGGGAGCTCTCTTGGGCTGTCTCGGGAGCCTCTTGGGCCGTCTCGAAACATTTGGGGCCGTCGAGGGGCTACCTTTGGCCGTCTCGACGCTCTTTTGGATTGGCTCTTGGTGCTCTTTATCGGGCCTTTGTGCAGTCTTGCGCCGTTTTGGAGGCTCCAGAGGCGCCTGGAAGGCGTTGGCGAGCTCGTAGGGATCCCAGGGGAGGGGGAAAGGGGGAGGGGGATAGCCAATCATCTCATACGCCTTTTCTCCCCCCAGAAAGCGGGAGTCGGTGTATTCTAATTGCGGGAAGTGCTCCGTTGGAAGATAACCGTCTGAGTCTGAGGAATCCCCAACCGTGCCAAAACATGATTCCTGGGATTTCAAGGTTGCGAATCAACATGACTGTTGCGTCCTGACAATTCTGAATCGTGCCAGAACTCCATCCCTGGGATTACACAGCACCGTGAACCAAAGTGACAGCTGCATCCTGACAATCGTGCCCGAATCGTGCCAGGACACGTCCCTGGAGCTTCAACCATGCTAGGGCGACGAGATCTATGCATATCCACTGCTCCTGGCCAGGCCAATCCTGGGCCCAGGAGCGGTGTATACGCCCTCCTGGCCTGGCCAGGGAGGCACATACACCGCTCCTGGGCCCAGGATGGGCCTGGCCAGGAGCAGTGGATATGCATGGATCTCGTCGCCCTGCATCAAGCCCTTGAATTGGTTGCGAACTATTCAGGAGGGAAAGAAACACACAGACACAATTAATCGTCGATTCCCAGGAAAATATGGGAAACTATGGGAAGTGGGGGGGAAGACAAAAAGCCAGAAAGTAGGGGAACATATGGGGAATTCTGTTATTTGTGTGTATTTGTCTGTGTGTCCTGGGGCCCCTGCGAACTACTGCGACACGTGTGCCTCGGCGCCGAGGCGCGAGAGCCGCACCCCTGAGATATACACGACCGCCCTCCACCCGTGAAGCCTTGCTGCGCAGTCTTGAAAGATACACCTCAGGCGATGCTTTGCACAAAAAAAATTATCCTGGCGAAAGACCCAACCATAAGCAATTGTTGGTAACGCGTTGTGGGTGCCGCTTTCGGTGGGGCTCCATATGGGGCCACGAAGCGCTGCCTTGGATGGGGGAACCGCATGCGGACTGCGCCACCGGGGCGGGCCTTCGGTGGAGCTCCCTATGGGGCTACGAAACGCTGCCCTGGGTGGGGGAACCGCATGCGAACTGCGCCACTGGGGCCTTCGGTGGAGCTCCCTATGGTGCCACGAAACGCTGCCCTGGGTGGGGGAAGCGCATGCGAACTGCGCCACGGGGGCTTTCGGTGGAGCTCCCCATGGGGCCACGAAGCTGCCCTGGCTACGAAGCTCCCTATGGGGCCACGAAACGCTGCCCTGGGTGGGGGAACCGCATGCGAACACCCCCACTGGGGCCTTCGGTGGAGCTCCCTATGGGGCCACGAAACGCTGCCCTGGGTGGGGGAACCGCATGCGAACACCCCCACTGGGGCCTTCGGTGGAGCTCCCTATGGGGCCACGAAACGCTGCCCTGGGTGGGGGAACCGCATGCGAACACCCCCACTGGGGCCTTCGGTGGAGCTCCCTATGGGGCTACGAAACGCTGCCCTGGGTGGGGAACCGCATGCGAACACCCCCACTGGGGCCTTCGGTGGAGCTCCTATGGGGCCACGAAACGCTGCCCTGGGTGGGGGAACCGCATGCGAACACCCCCACTGGGGCCTTCGGTGGAGCTCCCTATGGGGCTACGAAACGCTGCCCTGGGTGGGGGAACCGCATGCGAACACCCCCACTGGGGCCTTCGGTGGAGCTCCCTATGGGGCCACGAAACGCTGCCCTGGGTGGGGGAACCGCATGCGAACACCCCCACTGGGGCCTTCGGTGGAGCTCCCTATGGGGCTACGAAACGCTGCCCTGGGTGGGGGAA